ACCATATTCCTAACCCTAACCTAGGTCCAATCTTAACCTTATCCCTAACCCTAACTCTAACCAGGGTACAACCCTAATGTTAACCCTAACCCAGGTCCAACCCTAACCCTAACTATATTCTTAACCCAGGTCCAACCTTAACTGTATCCCTAACCCAGGTCCAACCCTAACCCTAATTCTAACCCTAACCATATTCCTAACCCTTACCCTAACCTAGGTCCAATCCTAACCTATCCCTAACCCTAACCCTAACCAGGGTACAACCCTAATGCTAACCCTAACCCAGGGCCAACCCTAACCATAACCCTAATCCTAATGCAGGTCCAACCCTAATGCAAAACCTCAAACAGGTCCAACCATAACCCTAATCCTAACGCGGGTCCAACCCTAATGCAAACCCTCAAACAGGTCCAACCATAACTCTAATCCTAACGCGGGTCCAACCCTAACACCCCTAACTCTAGCCCTCCTGGCAGGGCTCCCTTCCCCAGCTGCTTGCTCCGGGCTGGGAGGACTGCGGTCTGCTCTCTGGGAGGGCAGGGCCATGTGACTGGCCCAGACAGTGGGAGCTGCAGGGTGTGAACCCCCTGAGGCAGAACTCTGCAGCCAGAGCTCCTACAACTTCTCCAATTCCTTCCCCACTGTGGCCACGGAGCCCCCCAGTGGGAGCCCCCCAGTGTGTAGGGCCTGGGTGCTAAGTGACACGCCCGGAGGCGGTGGCCTCGCTGGGGGACGAGATGGGAGCTCTAGCCATCTCTAGGCTGGGCGCTGGCTGGCTTGGCGCTGCCTCTGGAAGGTCCTGTCACCGAACTCCCGGGGGCTCTGCAGGGCACACCCCCCAACCCACCAGGCGCGCCCTGCCCTGGGGGAAACAGACCCTCCTGGGCCAGAGTCGATGTGGTCACCGCCCCAGCCTGTCCCCCAGCATCGAGGGGCCTGCGCCTGTGGGTGGACAGGATTCTCTGCTGTTCTGGGCCGGGAGCCACCTGCCTGGCACCGCTTCCCCCAAGAGGTCCCCGACGCCGCCTGGCAGGTGAGGTCCCTTCCGGCCAGTCCTGCCCCAGGCACGGGAACGGCAGAGGGGCGCTTTCCCAGCACCGGCACTGCCGGGGGCGCCCGGACACTCAGACAAACCGTGGGAACTTTACAACTGCCGTCTTCTGCTTTATTGACAGGTAAGTTGTTCAAAATGTTCTCACGGTGATTCAATAATTACAAAGACTCCAACTTACATTAAAAAAGTAAAAACCAGACCCCCAGCAGGTGCCAGCCCCAGCAGAGGCCCAGGGGTGGGTGGCGGGCAGCTGCTGGGCTGGTGCCCACGGGCCCGCTGGAGCCGCACACTGTGCCGCCTCAGGAAGTGCTCGCCGTCAACAGCATCCCAGGAGCTGCCGGGCAGCCGGGAACAACGTCCTGGCTGAGACGCTGTGCGCTGGCCAGGGACTCGACCTCTCCCGGGATGGCCACAGACCTGGCTACGCACGCGACACGAGGAGGTGAGCGTGAAAAAGGCTGGGGAGGGCGATGTGCAGAGGGGCCCGGCTCCATGGGGGGACCGGGCGGGTGGGCGGGGCCTGGCTGTACCAGGACACCTGCTCCATGGAGGCGGGAGCTGGGAAGCGAGTGGGAAACAGCACAGCCGACTTCACAGTAGTAGGTACTGGTGACTTGTGGTTGTGACCGGGAAGGGACCAGGCCGGGCGGCGTCCCTCGCAGGCCTGTGTCCATGGTCCAAGGTCAGCAGCAGGGCTTCTGCAGCAGACGACGCAACGGCTAGTGAACGGAAGGCCCGGCACCTCCGTGCTCCTGTCCTCAGGACTAGACGCTGGATGACACGGCTTCCTACCTTCTCCAGCTCCAGGACGGCTCTGGGGAGGAGCAGGCGGTCCGGCCGAGCAGAGCGCCAGGGCTGCGGGGTCTGAGCGGCGGCCTTGCGGGCCCGGCACCTTCCCACCGTCTGGTGGGGACGAAGGGTCAGGTGCACGGCCCTGAGCAGCGTGGCATGAACGGTCACGTGACAATAGAGTTTTCTGCGTCTCCTCATCTACAAGTCATTCTGCGTCTCCGTGGACAACACTAGGGGGTCAGCTCAGTCTTGGCACTGGCGTCGGAGCCATGCGGCTCCTGGGCCCGTGGTGACGAGGTGGTGGCCGGTGGCTTCAGGCGTCGTAGGCCGGCGGCTCCAGGCCTTCAAGGGGGAGCTGGCTCCTGTGGGGGGAGGTGGGGCTTGGCGGGCCGCTGGGGTTGGAGCTGTTGGAAGGAGTTGAGTGTTTGGTGGAATCGGAATCCGGCTGTTAACACAAAGGGACAACGTGAGAAGCACTGCCCTGGGTCTGCGCAGTGGGGGCCCAGCCCGACGGGGTGTCTGTGGGGGCACCTGCTCTCTCCTTTCCTGTGATGAGCACACGCTGATGAGATCAGCAACCAAGCCGGGCCCCACAATGACAGTAATTAGGCGGCAAAGGGGGCGCCCCGCACAGTGAGACACGGACGCCGTGGGCGCCAGTCCCAGACACGACACTCCCTCGTGCTGCATGCTCCAGGAAGAGAGAGGAGAGGCCTTTCCCCACAGGGCGAAGGGCGACCATGAACCCCACAGCCAGCCCGCACCAGAGGTGAACAGGCTGCCCGCTTCCCCGGCCGCTGCAATGCACGCAGGCGCCAGCCAGAGCGCCGAGGCGAGAGAGAAAAGGCGCCAAGTGGGAAAGGAAGAGGCCACGCTGCCTGCTCCCAGGTGGCACGAGTCTGCGCACAGAAAACACGACCGCACACCAAGAGCACCCGTGTTCCTACACCAACGTGACAACCTGAAACGGGAATTCAGAAAACAATCCATTTACAACAGCGTCCGACAGAACGAACAGCTCAGAGTCACTTCACCAAGGAGGCCAGAGGGCTGGTCCCGGAAACCAGGAAATGCGGCTGCGAGACAGAGGCCGGTGACGAGAGGACCTCCCGTGGCCGTGGCCGGAGACCACCTGTTGTTGACACAGCAACTCCCTCGAGTGACCTATAGATTCAGTTCAATCCACTGAGATTCCACTGTCCCCCCCACCCCCCGAAATGGAAAAGCCAACCCTCAAGTTCCTATGCAACTGTGAGGACCCAGAATAGTCAAAACCATACTGAGTGAGAAAAGCTGGAGAACTCCCACTCCCCAAACTTATTATTTCAAAAGCAACTCATCAAAACGGGGGTGCTGACATCAAGGCCAGGAGGAGCCCCGAGAGCCCGAGACACACACCTGCAGCCAGTGTCAGTGCCGAAGGCGCCCCCACCACTCAACCGGGAAGAACAGCCGCTTCCACACACAGTGCGGGGCCCCCACAGGAATGAGCTGACCTCTGCCTCACGCGCCCGCAAGTGAACGCCAGGGGACCCATGCGCTGAGCACAGGCCAACCCACAAAACCGTAGGAGGAAACGGTAAGTGCTCATGACTGCGGACGTGGCAACGGGTCTAAGTTCTGACATCGAAAGCATAAGCCCCAAGACTGGACTCCATCAGAACTGGAAACGGTGCATGAACGAGAGGACGTGACCAGGAGGTGAGGACCACCCACAGGACGGGAGAAACATTCACAAGCCACACAGCGACGGGGCCTGGTATCCAGACAGAAAGAACTCTCGCAAACCAACAAGAAGACAAACAGCCCATGGGAAACGGAGAAAGGACTTGAAGACGCTGCTCCAAAAGCATCAAATGGCCCAGCAAATGGTCACCACTCGGGAAGCGCACACCAGGCTCGGGGACTTCGTGTTACACCTGCTGGGACGGCTGCTGAGAAAAGGGGGGCCACGCGCCTTGGTAAGAAGCAGAGAACTTCCCCACATGCCCTGCGGGGGGGGGGGGGTAACATGGGTGGCTGCTATGGCAAACCGTCATCATGTGACCCGGCCATTCCACTCCCAGGGCCACACCCCAAAGTGAAGACAGCACTCAAACACGTCGTGCACACACGTTCACAGCAGCCGAGGGGAAGCATCCCACGGCAGCCATCCGTGGCCAAGGACTCCTAAACGTGTGCTCATCCTGGGGGATGTTCGCACTAAAAAGGAGCAGCCTGCAGACGCTCAGGCCGCAGCATGAAGACCGGACACGGTGATGTCGAGGGAACAGCCCCACCGTGTGATCCCGACATGAAATGCCCAGAACAGGCCCAGCGGCAGAGGCGGTGGCCATGGGCCGGGCAGGGCGGGCGGAGGGAGAGGCTGCCTGTCGGGTGACGGAAATGCTCTGACTAGTCAGAGCTGGTGGCTGCACAGCACTGTGAACCTACTGGACAGCCACCAGACCACTCCCCAAGCCATTGCTTTCTGCGAATTTCACTTCAGTTTAAAAGAACAAACCAGGTCAGAGCAGGACAAACAGGAGCCGGGCGCCACTGAGGACACCACCGTCTGTGAAGCCTCCAGCCCCGGGCCCGATGTGGATCAAGACAAACCCACCAGGAGCCCCTAGAGAACACTGGTCAGCCACGTGAAGGGCGGCCGGGGCTGTCCCAGGCAGGAGACGCAGGCGCCAGAGGAGGGTGTGGGGAGGACGCGGGACACAGGACTCAGGGCCGACTCGCCATCGATCCACTCAAGTAAAGGCCTCGATGTGTGCAACCTGCCCCTCCAGTTCAGCACGTGCGTCCCTGAACTCTGACCTCGCGGCCATCAGGGGGAGGGAGAGGCCGAGAGGGAAGGCTCTCAAGACCAGGGGCTGCCTGAGTTAGAGACAGAACCGTCTGTGCCAGCTAAGCCGTGAGAGTCCAGAGGGAAGAGTGGGCTGGGCCTCTCCCAGGAAGGCAGTCAGGGCTCAGCCACCGGTGCCGGCCCCACCCCAGCGGCCCCTCTGGCCCGTGGTCTCGGCAGCATCTCCACTGGCTGGGCTGCCGGCTGGGGCAGGGGCTGCTTTTCCTTCTATGGGCAGTGACGCAGCTGCCCCCGCCCCTCCCCTGAAACTACCCCTGGGCCACGTGGCTGCTCAAGGGAGACGAAGCCTGTTTCACCAAGAACGGCAGCGTGGGCCGCGTCCACCATCAGCAGCCTTACTTCCTTGTCAAGTCCTGTCGGATCGGACATGCTCCGCAGAGGCGCTGCCATGCCG